CTCACGTTAATAAACACATTTAATTATTATAATATAGGGTAGTGATGACCTTTGATCTAGAAATTTGGTACCTTCGCTCGCTATCATGTATTATTGTTATAGGATTTCTTGGACCACATCTTTTAGCCGTGGGAAGAATGGTATTGATAGACGTTTTTTCATTTGAATAAAAATAAATCAATTTTTTTTGTCTAGCTTAAAGATCTTTCATTCTTCATGTACATTATTTTTATTGTCATGGCAGGTTATGATGTTGCTTCTCGTTCAATGGTTTACTATCCAAATCCTAATGCATTTAATGACACGAATGACAACACTGCATTTCAACAAAGATAATAAGGCCAGCAACTATTTGGAATTCGTTTCACCATTTTAAAATCTGACATTTATTTGATGTCAAAAAAGAAACAACAGAATGCGAAGTTGATGGTAGACTTATGGCTACGGCTTTCACTCTTGTAGCTATGATGAACTAATTATTCAGTCTATAGTGAATGAATTATTATAATGATATTAAGATAGAGTAATCAAATCAACGAAGCAACAATCAATAACAGGCAGGCCTCGAAACGAGCCATCCGGCCCAAAAAGATTTTATTCCTAGTCGAATGGGTCTCATCAGCGAAGACCGGTGGGCCGGGCAGGCTTAAAATTCTGCAGGACCATCTGACTCGAACTTTTTTTTTGCAAGGGAAATTTCTCACGCAAGGGAAAAGAAATAACTGATTGTAATCGACTTCTTCCTAGCAAAAAATCGATTGTGATGGGACTATCATCATTTGATCAAACTTAGAATATTTAACTATTAATCGATTTAAATGGAGATGGTCGTAAAACGAGTTTTTCTCGAGTTTTAAGTTAGAAACTCAAACTTTTGGTTTTTTTTGAACTCCTTACCTTAGCAAATCGTGATTATCACATTAGCCTAGACTTTGATACATATACCAGGCGTTGAGATGAACAATCAATTAATAATGACTCATGTAAGAAAAAATTTCGATAAATTAGATTAGAATTAATTCTTTTACGAACTAGTGTTAATTAAAATGAGACTATTTGAATCCAATAAAATCTGACTTGCCAGCTTTAAGGATAGATTTCATTTGATTTTAATCATTCCTGATCAATTTCTAAAAAATAATTTTAATCAATAAGACTTTATTATTCGACTAAAAATCGATTTGAAATAGTAAAATCAATTGAAATCTATTTTTCAAATTGAAAAATTGAATTTCAGTCAGAATTAAATAGCATCATTTTAATCAATTTTAAACAAAAACATAATCGTTTTATTCAAGTTTTTCGTCGAGGTTCATGCTAGTAAATGGTAGGATTCTAGAAGTTGAAGTATCGACGAACTCATCTTACTCTATTGATTCAGTAAGTAATTTGACTTATCTTCCAGACTTTTTTTTTAGACTTAAAATTGTCTAACCTTATTCAACTCGTGATCGCCATGATAATTAATAAACTTTTTTTTCATGATTTGATAAATTACTCCAGTGTAGAGACGATCAATTTTGCATTTACGAAAACTTAATAAGTCCAAAAATAAATTTAAGCTTTCAGATATGAGAGTTGAAATTTATTTTAAATGTAAATTTTATAAATTTACATTTAAAATAAATTCAAATTTTCACATCTGAAAAAGTAAAATTGAAAATTAATTTAAATTTTCAAAGTTTAAATCTATTCTTCATTTATAATTCATGAAGTTTAAAATTAAAATAAATTAACAAGAAATAGCCATCCCTATTCGGACCGGGCCGGGCTGGGCACAGTTAACTGATCGGACGGACCGGATGGGAATGAGCAATTCTTGGCTTAGTATGGGCCGAGTCGGTCCATCAAAAAGTGGCCCAATTTCGAGATCTGATAACAGGTCAAAATGGAAAACACATGTATACTGCAAAAATCTATTTATTCTATCACATTCTTTCGATATTTTCCGCCAATTCGATGAAAAATAATTCTCTTACAACTATCTTTAAAATAGCATTAAATATAAAGAAGAAATCTACTTCTATTCTTTTTTTCATTTTTTGTTGAAATCAAAAAAGGTATTGTTCAGGGTTTTGAACAATCAACCCAGGCCACTAATATTTGATTTAGTAATTGACGGAGCACATTGAATGGACGCGTTTTGTATTTCAATTTTCAATCAATTAATTCGTTGTATTAAAAATATAATATGCAACAAGATGCAGCATGAAAAGCTCTACAATTTACACAGAATTGTGTGCGACCAAATTTCGATGCTGCATCTTGTCGCATACTATATTTTTAATACAACGAATTAATTGATTGAAAATTGAAATACAAAACACGTCCATTCAATCTACGCTACCAGTTAGTATACGAAACACATTCTTATTTGAATAGTGCTAATAGTATTCTGAAATCTTAAACAATTAATCATGATGAACAGACTTCAGAGAAGCACATCATGTGTACATATGAATTCATTCCTGATAGAAATATTAACCAACGAAGGTTTTCGTGTTGATGAGTCTAGGTTTTTAAAAGCAAGTGTCACGAGAGTACTTGTCATGAAATCCTTTAATATAACTTTGATTGTATATTAGTGCTACGCTTGTCATTAATATATATATATAAATATTGACTCTTCCGACTCATGCCTAATTGAACTTGATGAAAGATTAATTAACACATAATTTGCTTATTTTATAATAAAAACCTCGAAGAAGCTCAAATTAAGCTTCATGCTATAAAATATATATATATTGAAATTTTAGCAAAATCAAACCGTAAAAGCTTACCTCGAAAAAACGTCTGCTCTAATTCTAGAACAAGACTTCTTTGTTTTTCTATCATTTCACGACAGCCAAGAGAAATTTATACTCTTCATTCAAATAGACGAAGATTTTTTTGTTCTCATATTCCTATTCATTCATGTTGCTAACAACAAAAAAGCTTAATTTTTTGACAAAGAAAACCTAAGTATATTCGACAGAAAACTTATCCAGAGATTGTGTAATCTCAGGAATTCTTTATAAAATTCCCTATTTACTTTTCAAAAATATCGCTTGAACATGCAGGTTTTGTAAATAGAAATGCATGAAATTACATTGCCAGTGCTAATTTTCTAATAATGATTCAGCGAAACTTCGTTCTATAGGACTGACTTTGTCAGTGTATTTAGAATAAGTCAATATACATCTGTTATTCAAAAAGAAAAAGTTAACATCTATCTTTTTACGTCAGATTGTTATGCATTTCGAGTTCTTTGGAATGTAAAATATAAAAGCAGTACCTTCGGATAATAAACGTCATCAGAACATTTATTTATTTTTTCAAATAGCATATCCTGACGCCAGTTGGTCAATTGCAACACATATATTACTTGCTGCTCATATGCTTTTTGTGAATATTTTACTTATTGATTTGCTTATTGCAATATTTCGGTAAGTATTCAATATAATCGATAACTATACAAATGAAGTAATAATTTTGAAGTAAACGATTTGATCAAGTAGATGAAGATACAAAAAATATTTGGCATTCTCAACAATATGTATTTACACGTGAATATTTTATACGTTCACCGTTTTTTCCACCAATAAGTCTCATTTATGATGTTTGTCATCTATGTCGTATGATGATCTTTGCTATAGGACGAATTTGTTCGAAAAATTCAGCAGATCGTCGAGCGAAAGTATTTAGTAGGTTCACGTTAATTTATTTTATTCTTTAAAAATTAATTTTTTTTGTAGAAATAATTCCTATAAATAAAGATTTTATTAAAGACTGGTACGAATTTGAAGGTGCATCAACATATGAATATACTCATGCCGAAGCAAAAGCATCAAAATCTACATCGTTAACGTAATTTAATGAGAAAAATAAAACAAGATTTTAATTTGGAAGGTTTCCTTGATTTAGATCGATTCAAGGTTTACATCTTGATAATATTGGAAAAATACAAGAAACAAATGCTATAATAAAAATGTTTCAAATGAATCAATTAGTAATCTAAAACGAATACAAGATGATTTGACAAAACTAAGTTAATTCTCTGAAGAAAGTACACGACAAATGCAAGATAATCTTGCCAGATAAAATCCATCATTAGGAGAAATTAAATTCCATATGTTATCACAATAGAAATAAATTTCTTTCATTCTTAATTTATGAATGAAGAACACAGTCATTGTGTCATGTGAGAATAAAAATGGACAAAAATAAATTTAATAATAAGAGCAGACTAAGTTGTTGTATTTGATAAAGCGATGTCGAATGTATATAAACATAATATTTTACCAAAAGTTCTCTGTGCTAAGATGAATATCCTGATACATTTTTGCTACAAAAATATAAATTATCTAGGGAGTCGTATCTAAGACCTATGAGGAAATGTAGGAATGCATTAGTCATTCTGTTTTGCATCTGTAGCAGAAAATAAGACAGTAAACATTAAACAATGAAGCAGCTTTTTTTTAATCAGTGTTTTTTCTAAGTAATGAATACAAGTTCTCTAAACGATCTCACATTGTTTTGACATGAGTTAAGATATGATTCGAGCAACTCATTCAGCAATATGAGATCTACTGAACAATTTAGGTTGATAACAGCTACACAACAAAGCGGTATTGTTATTAAAACGAGCACAGTGATATACTCTGAAAAAAATAGGAGTTCTGCTATCGGGCAAAATGCATAATCATCAAAAACTGGTTCTGACTATAAACAGGATCTGTCAAGAACTTTCCAAAGCATTTAAAGACTGGTTCTTTAAAATAGTTTAGTCTGGCATGAAAGGCGTCAAAGTTCAATGTTTCATCATCAAACCTTATTAAATTTGTAACAACAAGTTTTGCACTTGAGGAGGACTTCAAGGTTAAAAAAAAATGTATTGTCTAACTAGAGAAAACGTATCTTGGGAAACTGAAATTCTCACTCGATTTTATTACTTTATAAACTTTTGCTAAGACTTTCAGGGCTTTTGAACATCCCAAAACATGACAAACACGTTAATGCATAGAAAACTAATCTCGAAATCGGATAAAACGTTCTCAAAGGCAAAATAACCTTACAGACAATGCATAGTGAAGTCTTACATGCAAGGGAACTGCTCTCCAAATGCAGAGGAATATTACATAAACTTTCTCAAACATTTTATCACACAATCTGTTCCAAAAGCCACAATAAACGACAACCTAATCTATCTTTTAAAACTAAATCCCATTATACAACTATTGGTACCGACCTAAATACAAAAAATAAAGCTTTTGTTAGTCTTTTTAGGAGTTAATTCTAGTTGAAAATTTTCACTTGATCGAGAGATTTTCGTTCCGCCGCTTTTTGTAGGAGTAAACTAGTCACATTTGAAAACTGTTGTATATCATTTCATTTTTTTCATTTGATTAGAAATACTGGCAATACCATCATGATATGTTAATAATAAATCTTTATCTGTTTTGTTGTTAATATTGTTTCATTTATGTTTTTATCAACGCATCACTCACAGCTGGTGTAGTTGGACCCACACTGGCACCGACTCCTTCTTTATAAACTACTTCAAAAAAGGAGAAAATGGCAAGTTTTCAAAAATAGTTCCGGTTTTTCCTCAACACATCCAATCAATTCGCTATGTTACTTAATTTCTTGTGCCTCAAGACAATAACAGCACAAAACAAAAGAAAGCGATTTTAGTGATTCTATAGTGACTCAGCGAGAAAAAAGTATAAGAAAGTGGTGCCAAAGAGATCTCATGACATTTACAAAGGATATTTTATGCGACGACTCTTCTATTATGATTATTTTGTACTGGAACAATAATAATCAGTACATGTTAACATATGTGAGAGTAAGTTAGTGAAGCAACCGATATAAGTTATAGTGCAACTCATTTCCCAATACGATAGTCAATATGAACAGGAAGAAGTTTATCATTGAATGTTGAATATGACTTCAAGTGCCAAATGATCCGATGGATAATTAATCGATGGAAGTGCATTATCTCCAATTTCTTCTTTACTTGGAAACTGTAAAATAGCTTTAGGTGTAAATCCTTTTGGAGTATAAAAAATATAATCGATTGTGTGACAAGACTCCTTTTCGGTTCCATCACGTCCCTTAAATTTCCAGGTAGTATACTGCGGCTCTTGATTGTTCAACATGGCAGGATAGGCGCTTCGAAAGCCGTAGTTGGTAATTTCTGAGTAAAATGGCTCAACAGTGTCTCCATTAAAATCACCGGCTAGAATCATGTGTGCATGCATTGGATATTTATTTTTGATATGTTGAATAAGCGCCTCTGTTTGAGCAGTTCTCGAAGTTGCGAATGTTTTACGGGCTTTCAAATGAGTACCGATAAAAATAATCTTTTTCGATGATGGCTTGTGCTCCAACTCGAGAGTAGCAAAAATCTAAACATAGTATTAATACATTTTTTCAAGTTCGACATGATTCCATAAGACTAACAAATAGAATAGTAAACATAAACGACAAATGAAGACAGTTCCTGATTCTGATAATATTTGAAAGTCGTATGCGAATAAAAAATTTTTTATGCGATTATTTCTTTAAAAAATCTTTCCAGTATCACCTTTGCAAAACTCTGTCTAAACCTATGATTACGAAAAACCGTAATTCGAAGTTAGAATAAACTCAGATAGAATCCAGAAGAAGCAGTTCATGACGTAAATGAATTTTTAAAAAATTCAAATTTACATAGATTCTTGAGTGAACCTTGAATACAATTTCTATTAGTAACTGTATTACTTGATCTCTTAATAACCGTCAGAGTTTAGAAGAACTGACCAGAGACTATCACTGGTAACGAAAGCCACATGTTTCCGCGGTGTCCATACTAGCTCTCTCTTTTTGTTAATATTCACAGCCCCTCATTATCGAGTGTGAACCTGTAATTATATAATAATTCATGTTCTCTTAATTATTTTGTAATTCATATACACTATTCAGCGTACTTTTGCTAATTTAAGAATGACGATCATTTTCAGGAGTTTTCTGATGGGCTTCTTACGATTTTCTAGAGATCTTGTAAAACATCACTAATGGAGAATGTTTCACGAATATCAGTGATTCAAAACCTCTGACATCTACTACGAATTTTTGACATGAAGAGTGCGGAGCGCATGCTCTAACTAGAAGGACAGGATTAGTTGTAAATTGAAAAAAAAAAAAATCATAATCTAAAACTTAAGAGAGCCAAACTTTTATTTTTGCAGTAGTTTTTTTAGGGAAAATAGATCTTTTATATAGTGTTATATCTAAATTTTCAAATCCTTTGTATGGCAAACTAACTCTGCTGTATTAAAAATTCGAATCCATATAGCAAATCTACTCAGGATTCGTTGCATTTCTAGACTGTGATGAGTTGTATTGCTAAGTGTAAATTATATATGAATACCAACCCGAATCCTGTGTCATTAGATTGTCATGCAGGACATGAAACACACGTACACTTACATCTTCAACTCCTAATATTAGAATAACTCTTAAAAAACTGACTTTTTCGAGTTGAAATTTCGGTTATGAGCTTTCTATGCTTGTACACACAATTCCTGAAACTTTCGGCTGGCTCCATTGTCTTGAAACAAAAACTAGTTTCTGAAAAGAAGGTGCCTGAAGATTCTTGTTCTAACATGATTTACACATCATCGAACCTATCTTTTCATTCGATAGTTTCCTTAATAGACAAGTGATAATCGTCATGTATTTCGAAGTATCACAGATCTATGATCGAACGAATCAACGAAGCAGTTTTCATTCCTTTTTCTTTTAAACAAATGGATAATTGGGCAATATGTATGATCACTAACATGTTTTTCTTGTCGCCCATCATCTGGCAGTTGACCTTCATCACGACCCAGTTCCTTGAATAGATCAGTTTTGAAACACAATAGTGTACCATCAGGACCTTTGAAATTTTCTGTATCATTTTCAAATAAAAGACATTTTGAATTTATCTTCTTCACAAAGTGACATGTATATCTGCAAAGTGAAAAAGCGGTTAGTATAATCTCTATGGAATTAAAATGTGAAACACGATATTGCTATTGTTGCTATTTATATGAAAATTGTTTTATTGCATCTATTTTCGGGTACGTTTCTTCATCGTTTAGTTAACATTATAGAACTACAATAAGGAACTAGTTTAGTTATGGTATATGATAGCCTCTAGAATTCGTTTGTCACGATCTATAATAGTCATTGGTGGTCGTCTCTCGCGAGTTGAGCAGAAAAAAGAAGTGAAAATTTCTACATTATATACTGCAACAATCTTTTTAGATCATGTTTCACAAAGTATTTAGAATTTTTTTTTTGATAACAAATACCACTTACCCATATTTTGGTAATTCATCTTTCAGAAAATCATTGAATATATCCATCTCTTCTAAAGCACATAGATCCGGCCTACGAGCAATAATTTGTTCGAGAATTCGCCATTTACGATTTTCGAAAGCAACTACATCATCCGGAACGCGTACAAAATTGTTTTTTTTATATGAGAGAGCTGGAAATATAAATGACAGAGAAGATAACATTGTTGAAAATAAATCGTATTGTCTCACCTTGTGCAAGAACATTCCATTGTAGAACATGAAGAGTATTATTGTTCGATGAAGTATCACCATGGAATTGTCTTGAAAGACTAGGTATCTTAATATGCCGTGCTATTCTGCAAGTACATCAAGTGGTAAAATAAAAGAACTCATGTAGGTTTTTTATCTTTCTCACTCATCGGGAATTTTGTTTCCTGTTGATGCGCTTGCCATAAAGAGTTGTTGTATTTTTCAGTAACTAAATCAATCAGAAAAGAAAAATAGAAATAATCAAATAAGCATAAGTTGCTTGTCAATCTTATTGTTTGAAATTCAACTCATGATATCAGTTGTATTTTTTTTTCATTTAGAACTTTTATTGGTGAATTTCAAAATGATCAAACGTCGACGTTCTATCCTTTGCATCTAATAATAAAGAGGCATTTTTATTTTTAGTTCCTCTCTTCAT